ACACATGCGCTCAGTGACTTTTGCTCAAAATATCGACAAAATATATACATTATTCTGTAGAATTCGTGAAAAACTGAAATTTACGTTATGTTTGTGACGTCATTACGTACATATGCCGTCATAACTTATGAAAATATTCAGTGCTTTGAAGTCAGCACATACTCCCCTCTTTAAGAACTTAACCAAATATTACCTCCATCAAAGTTTGATTTGGGGGGCAAATAATGGTTATTACCGCATAAAGTTCTTTGTTCAAATTATGACCCCTGGGGTAGGGTGGGGCCTTATTAGACGACCAAAGTTTTGCAAAGGAACTCAAGAACAACAAAGCCATAATCATAAGGTCATATTCATAAGGAAGCATTCTCAGGTTGAACAAATTTAGGTTTATTGACATCATAACCCCTGGGGGGGGGGGGGAGTCCATAATGGACGATCAAAAATTTTACATAGGAATAAATAGGGAAAAATCTTGAAAAATATTCTCATAAACAAAAAAGCCATGATTTGTCATATTTATTTGGAAGCATCCTGGTGTAGTGTAGATTCTAATTTGTTCAAATCATGACCCCTGTGTGTAGGGTGGGGCCAAAATAAAAGTTCAAACTTATAGAGAAAAGGCCACTTTGAGTCAAAAGAAATATGTACGCATTCTTAGTCTTAGCCTATGGGCCTCTTTAAATGTAGCCAGAAAATGTATGAATTCCAATGTTGTTTTTTTTTATTAATTAAAAATAAATTGCAGAGGCAGGAACACCTCTGTGCACTTCGTAAATGAATGCCAAAAAGTAACCCTATCCCATCATATTTTGCACTTATTTTAAGTGTTTTGTTTTGAACCAGAGATATTGCATCTCTTAGGAATACAATATTCATACATAAGATATGTACAGGCTATACAATATACATGTGGTAATTACATAACAATAGCATTTAATGATTATTTAGAACATCATTTCTTAATTGATAAGAAAAATACAAAAATTTACCCAGGCCCCAGGATCATTAAACATCTTAAGCTGAAGTCAAAATATTCATATTGTACTAGTATTTTGATTAAGTCAAGTAGACAAAATTAAAATATTTTTTTAATCTTGCTTTACAAAAGTTGTTATCTGCAAAATTAGATTCAATAATTAATAAACATTTTACAGCCGATTAAAAATTTGACTTAAGTCTAAGTCTATTTCATGATCCTGGGACCAGGTTATATAGTTCTCTAGTATTTGTGAAACTCAGTAACTGTACTGATTTAAATACTGATGGTTTTTACAATGATTACTCTTGATATATTTAATTCTAAGCTCTTCAAATGGAGGACATTTAATACAAAATGAAATTTATCCTCTATCTCACCTGACAAACATATTTCACAGTTAGTTTCTATCTTTTCTTGTCATACCCTGTTCATAAATATTGTCTATAGCCATGAATATATTGGTTAAATAATACTGTCAGTTAAAGATTCTTCGAGCAAGGTCAAAACTGAATTGGGATATATACAAAACTGATTTAACAAATGGACTTCTCTATCATCACATGAGCTACTTTATATATATAATCAAGAAATACGACAATAAGGATCATAAGTGGAAGGCTGTATAAAGTTTTTGGGACTTTTGTCGGATCCCATTTGTAAAATTTTAAGGCAATATGTTCAAACCTCAACCATTGGTCATGTGACAAAATTAAGTTAAGGTCATGTGGTCAGTTTCAAGAAAGAATTTTTTTTTATCGTTGAATTGCTTTTTTTATCATTTTATCGGGTTGAAAATTGCAATTTGTTGCTTGAGCCGATTACAAAAATTACGAAATGAAAACCCGATTTTTTTTATATGTTCTTTTATAAAGAACAGACTGTATAGAATGATAAAATTAGTCCTATTTGTAATTTTATATTAATCATTTCAGCGATAATATCAGTGGCTAATCCAGAATCTTGACGGCTGAGAGAAGGGACGATAGGAAAGGGTATAGAGATCACGTGATGAGATGGGGTGTCCTCCTCCCCCTTTCTATATTAAATTTTGTTTAATTCATCATGGTCCATGTGCCTTGGGTAACAAAGTCGCATAGTCGTCAGACCTGGAAAAGGGGAGGGTGGCTATCTTTTTTCTTAGGGGGGGGGGGTAAATAAATCTATTAAAAGACAAACCCATGCTGTGAACATAGAACTGTCAAACCTACAATAAAGAAAAACATGTACATGTAGGTATGAACAACAAACAATCTTTATAGCTTTAAAAGACAAGACAATATAAACTTTTTGAAAAATTCGTAAATTTGAAAAAACAAAATCAAAACAAATAAAAAACAATGTATTTTTTAATGAAATACCTTTCAGTAAAAAATTATATATCAATTGAACATGAACTTTGTATGAAGATACCGCTATGTATAATGTTAATCAAGAAATGTACATGTGCAAATATATTTATCAACAGATAATCAGACAAATTTTTATAAAAATATCTAAAAAAAAAAAAAAAAATGTTAGATACTATCATTACACAAATAAATAAAAATAATTTGTGTAAACGGAAGAAGATATGCAATGTCTTACTTGTATATTTGAGAGTGGATATTCATCGATATTTAACGTTGTTTTAAAGGAAAAAACAATAATTTTCTGCCTTTCATTGCCTCGAATATATTTAATTAATGTTTTGTAATTGTTGACTTTGAAATGTTATAGAAACTGTGAATAATACAATTGCAGAGTCTTTTGCTGGAAAGTTTTAGCAATTATAAATGAAACACAGATATTACTGAAAAAGTCATGAGACTACTGTTTCACGTTTCTTAATTTTATTTACACTACTTAAATGATTTTATTAAATATATTATATTTTCAAAAACTGTAATAAAGTGTACAATAAAAAAAAATACAGAAGTTGTTGTTCCCTCAATAATACATGTATTTCCAGAAGATCCTTTTTATTTGCTCGACAAGGAATTTTTGCTTTGGAGTGTCCCCCAACTGAAAATGTATGCCCCACCCACCCACCAGTAAAAACTGAAAATGTAACGTACATGTACGGTCTAGGTAAAGTCCAACATACAGTGTATATAAAGTAAAATCGAGAAAAAAAAAGTATAACTTCAAACAAGGTAGAGACGATACCTATAGTGTATATGTAAAAGCTTGATCTCAAGCATAATTAAAATTGCTAAATACATTAATGGCCGAAATTAGAAGTTTTAGCTTTCTATACATACATTTCTTCGAAAGGTAAAATATATGATTCAGGTGATTGTTATATCATTTGGGCCCCTTGTTTATATTTATGCACAACTACTTCGCGAGCATAAACAATATATGTTTAGTGTCGGTCAGTGCCTCTCAAGAGACTATAATAAAAACTGTGTTCAATTTATCCAGACCAAGGTCAGAGCAAAAATAGCATTCCCTTCAGTTTTCTCTGTTCTTTGCTCGATTTCACGAATGGACATCCGTATTATACCCATGTGCTATTTGAAGAAGCAATGAACGTTTTACGGGCCATGTGACAATTAAATTTCAAGGCTAGAATCTATGTTTGCTTTTTAATATCAATGAACCATGCTATCCTAGAATTTATTAACCTTGATTCTGGAGCTCAAACCTTTGCCCCTTTCACCTTTCATAAGGTCTTTTGTCAAAAATACATTAAAATTAGTTGTTTTTATTTTTTAAGATATAAATATAAAATGAAATGTGTAGAAAATATGTATACAGAATTCTTCGAAATACAAAAAACTTAAAGCATATCCATGTAATTAATGATAATTTATATCTAGAGAGGGCAAATTCTTGTGATTTTGAGGTTCAAATAGATATGCAATGTATGTATTATGCTTTTGTGTACAATGAATTATTTACGTACCATATTTTAATAAAAGAGGGGAAAAAAAAGAGATAAGGTCTTTTTGTAAAATTATTTTTAATTATTTTTTACTAAAATATATATAAATGTACATAACTCTTACACCTAAATCATATCCATGTACGTTTTACACACCGGATATTTTAGTCATTTATCACATACCTGATATGGCACGGTTATATTTTTATATCAAAATAATATTGATGTAAATCGACTGATATTTTTATTTCCATATCTAAACACATTGAATAATAGTTTAGGTTTACATAATAGAAAAATACTAAGTATTGCAAAATATATGTGCCCCCACCTAATTTTTGCGATATATAGAATACTACAGAAAACATAGATCTCTATGGTTGTGCCCCCTCAGAAAAAAAATGTCTGGTGAACTTTTCTTTGTCAAGGAATTTTAGGTAATAGTTAGAGCCATCCCAACTGAAAATGTACCCCCCCCCCCAAAAAAAAAGAGACTGAAATTGCTTCCTACGGGTCTGTATAAGGCAAGATTTATCATTTACTCCTTTTGGTAAGTACGTAATATCAATGTACCAGTAAAAAAACAACACAGGCATAAAAAGAAATAAGCTTATTACATTTTTTCTTTGAAAAAAAATAGCGTATGCATACGGCAAAATAGAATATATATTGAATATTTGCATATTATAAATACTGTATTTTTTTAATGATAAAATTAGCATGAACAGACTTTACAAAAATAGAATATTTATTGTCAATTTATATGAATATACACATTACTTTAAATTTGTAATTTTTATTATGTACATTTTCTTTATTTTGTTTTTTTTTTGTATCTTTATCCTTTTACTATTTGACGTGTACATTCAATACATATAATCATTAATTGGAAGTTGAGCTAATTTTTCGTGAATTCATATATATATACATATCGATATAGATCCATATCAGATATTTTGTCAATTTATGAAAGATTTCACAAAATATTTCACTCGAGTAGATTTTCTCAATGAAATATAAAAAATTATATGAAGAACATATTATATGCTTTTCTTCATCACGTGGTTTAGATTTTTTGATCGCCTGCGTAACCTTCGCATTCCTCATGTGCCTCATCTGATCGGGCTCGGTCGTATGTCCTTGACCATAGCTTATAAATACGTTTGGCACTCCTCGGAGTTGTACAGTAAAGCAGGAAGTTTTTGATGTTCTGACACGTGTGTTTCAAAACAGAGGGTTTATTTTACAATTTCATTATTTTTTATAGGAAAATGGAGGCTAAAAACATCGTCAAAGTTGGTTCTCGTAAAAGTCAGGTATGAATTATTATTTGTAAAACATCATTTTACTCAGAAACGCTGTTAACATTGAGGTTACCTTGATAAACAGATGTTACATACCTGCGTTTCTGTTTTGTTTACATTTTGCGATCTAGATACTGAACTAAGTAAAGGTGATTTAAATGTCATTTATACCAATGTTTTGATCACTGAAAAAAAATGATACCCAATTTACTGATTTATTAAAAATATTGATTATAAGAAAACTGTAAAATTTAAATAAATTTTAGTTGTGTAATATGCACTCTCCCTGCATGATGCGTGCATGACGTCCCTTATCAAATGTATTCTTCTTGAGAGCCCCCGTTTATAAGTATATTGATGTACCAAGATCACACTAACTGAGAAAAGGAAGAATTACACTACAACCATGTTGGTACCGAATTTAGCAGATTATGAAATGAATCACTGATGTTTATACATGTATAAGGTCAATAAGGCAAATTTATCAGTTTTTAGCTAATGTAAGAATTAAGTGTTATGCTATCTTAAAAAAATAATATTGAAAAAGTGATTTTTTTAAAATTATATATGAACATATCTTTTAAAAAATTAAAATTGGAAGAGGGATAAAAATTAAATACATTATAAAATGACCATATACTTTACCCCCCCCCCCCCCTCTAAATAATTCTATTTTTTTCATCATAATTCATATTTCTCTTAATGGTGAGTTTTTTAACATCTATATGCCTTACATTTATATTAATGACAAATTTCCGTGGATTATTTGTGTCCCATACATCCAGATATACTCGAAAAAATATGACATCAGAGGTTTTGATAACATAAGTATTTAAAATAATTCCAAGTTATTCAATAGGTTACTTCCTTCCTAATAGTACCCAGGCAGTTCCTATGTTGAAACATGAATGTATTGAGAATGAGATCATGTTTACATGGGCAGACTTTAGTCTATTTTTCTATCCTGAAGTTTGTGTAGTTTTGAACATTGATCCTTAGATCACGTACAGAACAGATAGCAGAGTAGGTCAGAAACCAGTTGTGTCATTCACAGATTAATTCCTCGTTTACCTGTAGAAGAAGAGTTTATAACTAAAGTTATAAATAGCCTATAAACAACAGACAGCACCTATATGTTTAAAATGTATTTATATACCACTTCAGAACTGCTTATTCCAGGTTAAAATAAGTATATGCCATAAACATGATAAACATATTTACAAAGACACTTATGGCACGAAGTAATTTACAATATAAAAATTTCAAAATCAATTTATCAGTTTATTTCTAAATATACTTGTAATGTTCATAAGAATCTTTTCTGTCTAATATATACATAAATATGTATTAGCAGATTTAGAGAGAGGTGTTCCTGGCCCTCGTGGAATTTAAATATGTATGAAATAGATGTATATATGCACCAACTGAATTGTTCATAGATTTTTAGTTTGATACAATGTAGTAGGAATTTTGTGGTTAAGTTGAAGTATGATAAGCACATACACACAATCAATAAAATATTAATTTACATACATTTGTATTGAAATCAGTCAGGTGTGTTGAAGGTTTATAGATATCTTCTTAACTAAGATTTATGAAGGTAACATTAGCATAACATTTTTTTTTTTATTATTTTAAATTTTAAATTTGAGCAGTAAGTACATGTATATTAAATCTTCACATAATAATATGAAAGTCCCAAACCTACTCAATCTTGGTACAACATGTACATGTATCTTTACTTCTGCATGTTGACTATAAACATGCTAAATACATCAATTTTGGTTTGGTTTGAACACATTTTATTGTATAAATACTATACAAATGGTTTGAACACAAGTTCTAACAACTTACTAGGTTCTCACCATACAACTGTCAATATACATACATAGGGAAAATAAATGAAAAAGGAATATTGATGCACAAACATGTTTGTTAAATTGAAACATACATTTATTACATATGATAAATATATAACTATATAGAGTGTAAGTGTTAGGCAGTAATAATTAATTAAATCTACCAGAATCTCTTATAAATTTTTGAACTGACTGAAAAATATATTTATTGATTTCTACATTTTGTGATTAATATACATGTATATGCAGATCTTGGTATATTATTTGCTTTTAGCAGTTTGTAAAGTAGACATTTTTAATTTATTTTTTTAGGTATGTATACATGTATCTATTTTCTTCTTTTTTACTTTGTTACATTGTAATTTGTTTTGATTCCTTTTTTAAAACTTATCTTCTTTAAAAACTTTGTTGAATTAATGTTTTAATAATAAAGTAAAATTAAATGACCTTCAAAATCATGTGACAAATTGGCCCAGTCTTTAGAAATGTTCTTTAAATAATTGTTGGATCTGATCATGTGACCCACAGCTTTGATGTCTTCAAACAACAGTCATGTGACAGCATATCCAAGAAAACTTGGACCTTCAGTAAAAGCGCCTCACTGTCATGGAATGGCCATTTTGGTTGTTTCTCACATGATTTCTGCTGTTTTGTACTTGTGGTCATGTGACTCAGCATGCTACCACCCTATTACTGACAGAGACTTGTGTATTACCTCTCTAAGGTCACTTTTACCTGTGTTTACCTGTCGACAGATCAATTAAGGACATCCAGTCACTGGTCGATAATTTCATGGTCTGTTGATTTTAAAGTGACAGTTTATGCTTCATTCATGTTCAGAAGATAAACATAGCACATAAACGGGATTGTAAGTTAATTGTTTCCTTAAAAAATAGCCAAAAGCTGAGTGATAAAGTGTGTTATGTAGACAGCTAAGAGAATTATTTTCTCAATAAATTCACAGATTACAGAGTTTTGGAATTATAATATATGCTCATGCATGGATGTAGTACATAATCTACATTAATTTATTTTACACTCTGCAGGCTGGTAGATAGAACAATAATCTGAAATGCAGATAAGTCAGTTACCCCTTTGAATGCTCCATTGATTATATATGCATACATGTAACACGACAATGCTTATGATCCAGAAGCTGAGAAAAGGGAAATAAGTTCTGATCTTGACATATCACTTCTGAATCCATTTAACACAACACTAATCAATAAAAAAGAACACAAATAACAAAAATTATTATCATTCTCTAATTGTGTTGTACATAATTAAGTTGACTTCTCTTAGAACTGGTTTTTATATCTGCACAGAGAATTATTACAATTATAATCATGACAATTTTCCATCTACATGTATATTTTGTTTGATTCTATTTTCAGCTTGCTCTGATACAGACAAACAGTATTATTAACCACCTGAAGAAACTCAATCCACACCTCACATTTGAGATAAGTAAGTCAAACATATAGCAACACCTCTTGATTTCAATAAATTTTTAATAAATTTGATTATTTTTTCAAGAGACTGCATGCACATCACCAATGGTTTGATTAAATCTACATTTTTTTTTTATCAAAAAAAAAGATATATTGGTTTTTATTTTTCAGTTTCTATGCAGACCACAGGGGATAAAGTTTTGGATGCCGCTTTATCTAAGGTATACTTTATCTAATATTAGAGCATGTTTAAATCTAAACCTGTTTGTTGTATTTTTTGTAATTCCTGGATGAAAGCGTAAAATTCAAAGCATGTTAATTTGTTGATCAATCTTGAATTTATTTGAGCTGATTCCAATAGTTTAAAAGAGACATACTAGTAACTATCTTTTTATTGGTTTTAAAGTTTTGTTCATTGTTCTTAAATGGAATTACATGAAAAAGCCAAAAAGAAAAAACAATCTCAAATCTTGAATGCCTTATAAATGTGATAGAGGTAGACATATATTTATGTAATAAGCCTTAATGCCTCTTATATAAATCTCTAAATCTTACAGATCGGAGAGAAGAACCTGTTCACAAGAGAATTGGAGGTGGCTTTGGAGAAGAAAGAAGTGGATTTTGTAGTTCACTCCCTAAAGGATCTGCCCACATTATTACCAGAGGGCCTCCTTATAGGATGTGTCTACAAGTAAGTACATGTATCTGTAAGGAATCTGCCATCTCATATGGGACATGTCTATAAGTTAGAATCTTTGATCAATCTGCCTCATTACCATTTCCATTTCTGTGTTTAAGTTGTCAGATGTTCAATGTAATTTTGATGCTGTTGCTTTCCAGGAGAGACAGCCCTTTTGATGCAGTGGTAATGCATCCATCTAATGCTGGCAAGAAGCTGGAAGACCTCCCAGCGGGAAGGTATGGACAAACTTAATCCTACTGAACAAATTATCATAAAAACTAAAAATACATTCTTTTATGTCAGGATCTTGAGTCATGAAAGTGTGCCTTTTTTTTTTTTTACAGTGTAATTGGAACAAGTTCTCTACGAAGAGCTGCACAGTTGTCCAGAAAGTTTCCAGACTTTCAATTTGAAAATATCGTATCCTTTATCACCATGCACCTTGATACTAAATAATCATATCAAGGACTTACAGATAGTAAATTCAATGGTGATGCCATAGAATATTTAATAGATCTTGTCTTATAATATTTTTTTTTTCTTAAATAAACTAGCTCATCTACTGGTTTCTTTATTGCATAGTTAAAAGGATATTCTTATGGCAATAGCATAAGTGAAATAACCCCTTCTTAACTATAATAACCCAACAGACTTGCAATTAGAATTATTTTTGAATTTCCATTGTAAAAACAAAAAGAATGCCAAGATAATTAAGTCAATGAAGTCATTTTGAAATGATTAACCATAGTATTGTGAATTCCTTAATTCTGAAATAGAGAGGAAACCTGAACACTCGCTTCAGGAAGTTGGACGAGGATAATAAATATTCCGCCATCATTCTGGCAGAGGCTGGACTTCACAGAATGGGCTGGCAGGATAGAATCTCTCAGGTGAGCAGGAATAAAAGAAATCTATTGTCAGGAAACACACACTGTATTATTAGCATGGAAGGAAAATAATTATGTTAATCTACAGTATCTTCATTGCTCTGCATTAGCTGGGATTCCTATAGGACAGATTTGTTGCTTCCTATCATAATACTGAGATTGTTTTTACTGTAACAGGTGCTTGACAAGGACACCTGTATGTATGCTGTTTCCCAAGGTGCCATGGCTGTAGAGTGTAGAGCTAATGACCCCTTCACTCTGGGTCTCCTCTCCCAAATCCATGACCCAGAGACTGTGATCCAGTGTGTGGCTGAAAGAGCATTCCTTAAAAAACTGGTAAGTACATACCATGCATCAGTAATTGAAGCTTGTATAATATACAAAAAAGCTGTGCAACTTTTACAAGTCCAACACAAAGCGTAAGATAGATGGAAAACCCATGGTGTTAATATAACATTTTTTTTTGTATCTTAGGAGGGAGGCTGCAGTGTTCCAGTGTCAGCCTACACTGAAGTCAAAGATGGAAAGGTGAACATAAGTACAGTTTAATAAATTAGCTGGTATTGATGAAATGCTTGTGCAGCAATATAAGAAAGTGGGCTATTATAAAACAGACATACCCCATGTTTCTCAAAACATTTAACGCTTAACATTGTTCTCTGTTGTAGTTATCTCTGACTGGTGGGGTATTCAGTATTGATGGTACCCAAGGCAGGATAGAGTCTGTGTGTAAAGACCTCCCAAAGTCCATTGAAGAAAAAGAAAAGGTATTAACATACAATCTTATGGGTTGAAATTTTTATTCCAACCTTATAATTTTTCTATTGACAAACTCGGCAAATTTTAAAATTTACATTTCAAAGTCATTTCTATTGTTATTTTTCTTTTCTTTTATAGATCAACATCTCTCCAAATGGACCTAGGCAATTTGCAGGCATTGTTGGAAATGAGAAAGTTTCTATAGAAACATTAGAAGTTGCCCAAGAAGTAGGGGAGGAGATTGCAGAGCTCATGTTGAATTCAGAGGCCAAAGACATTCTCGCCAATGCTAAGGCAGAAACAAAGGCTGCCATCATCGCAGAGAAACAAAGAAAAGAAGCAGAGAAAAAGAAGAACGAGGCAGAAAAGATTCAAACTAATGGACATGCAAATCTAGTAACAGCTAATGGGCATTAAAATCTGGTTCTATGTCATGTTTTACTGGGAATGCATACTACCCTTAGGGTACATTCTGAAAAGAATGTTATCAACTTGAATGTCAATTAATGGCTAAGTCTTATAGCTTTTAAGCTCAAGTCTTTATAAAGAATTGATTGTAATAAAAAATGCTGAACAGTGTTAGCCATAAATTGTCGGGATTTATTTGCAGTTTTCTCCACTTTGAGATCCTGCAAAAGTTCTTGAAAATATATTATTAAGATTTAAGATTAAATATCCATATTTTTATTTGTAGTGTTTACAATTGACATTTTTTTTTTGTTTTTGAAAGGTTAAGAGAGAGAGAGAGAGATTTTTTTCTTTGACGTAAGTTAGACCATAGTAATTAGGAATATAGGCTATATTTATCTGTATACAAGCAAAATTGACAGAGAATGTTGTTATGTTTTAAAAAGTTTTATTTATTATGATGTGCTGTAGAATAAATAAGAATGACGTGAAAGGGAGAAAACAAAGTTATCTTTTTGCTGAAAAATAATTTTTATTAGGAGTTATCTTTTTCCCTTTAATGTACTGTATAGAATTAAATGTATAATTTTTTATTTTGGATATCTTCTCAAAACTCCATATTTGTAAAAAAATTTAAAATAATATTTAGGATTTTGAATTTACTTGAATTTGATAATTTCTTTGTTGCATTGCAAGGCATATATCATTTATCTTGTTTACATGCATTGTATATGAAATATATGTAGTGTATTTATATTAAAAAAATTATAAGGAACTACATTGAATATGTATTTTCAAGTTCTTAATCTTGAATGTGTGATAATTCAAATTTGTCACTGCCATATTCCATGCATTTATAAGTAAATGCACATATTAAATGGATCATTTTTATTTAGTATTTTATGTTAGCATGGCCAAAAGGTGCATAGATTTGAGTGAGAGTGTGTATGATCAATTAGTGCAGTACGTAAATTATAAAATTAAAGGACTTAAGGTGTTCCGACCCTTAAGGTAATTAGGCTAGCAAGGTAGTCGTAGACTTTAAAGATTGTGTCTTATTGTTATCATTGTCCTAGATACTTAACTAATTAAATGATTCAGTATGAGCAATGTGAAGGAGTCGAGTTTCTCATTTAGCCTTTGAACTTTCACTTGATGTACTTAAAAAGCCTTGTCTCGGGGCCGTATTTTCATTATATCTCATGCTTTGTTTTTAAGTGCTATGGTCGAGCCTCCTTAACTAGATCAAGCAACCCAAACCTAATCAGTTAATGGACACAAACAGTTTACACAACACATTTTATGAGTATCTATGATCTTTATTTTTTATTTTTGGATTTTTTTTTCAGTCCAAAGGCGATGATACAGCTTTAATATATTAGTGTAACCTAAGAAAATGATACACTAAATTCATAATGTTTAAGCTTGCCCATTTTGTATATTGAAGGCTGGTATAACATGACACACACACATTGTAAAAAATATTGTTTAAAATGTTATTTAAAGCAACATTATATTTTGATTACATTTTCCTGATAAGACAATTGCAAAGAATTACGAAGATATGTAATTGAGTTTTTTGAATGCTAAAAACTTTGTAAAAAGTAGATACTTCAAAGTGAGAGAAGCATCCCTGTAAATAAAATTTGTAAAACAAAATTAATTTTCTTTCTCATTTTAATGTTATTGCATTTAATCGGTTAAACTAATATCTCATTTAATATGTAGTATGTATATGATTGTCTTTGTTTGTGTTCTGATGTTTATTTGTTGTTTTATATGTTACTGAATAAATATTTTTTATATAAAATAAAAAAAAAACTGTTTTGCTGTGATTTTGGAATTTACCAGACTGAGAGTATTGTGCAGAATATAATCTTTATTTTGAAAAATAATATTGCATGGATTTTGAGAAATGATTATTTATAGTTAAGGTATTTAACCTTCTCCTCTGATTACATCGCTACACATTGACTTGATTAATTAAAGGCCTCTCTGCAGTGTAAAGTTAAATGGTTTTTCAGATGAAGATAAAATCTATAGGGATCTGCAGGGATTTAAGAATTCAAACATTGATCATAAACTGAGAAGTAAATGTATCAATGTTGTGAACAGTTTCAAGCTCCCTTGAGCTGTAAGCTGAAGTAAGCTTTTTTGATCACAACTTGTTCGCTGTCTGTTTGAGAATATTTATTACATTTTCAACTTCTTTTCAAGAACCAGTGGGCCAAATTTTCATTTGCCCAAAACAATCTTGGGTGAGGGAATTTATGTTTGTTTAAATGACAATAGTATCCTCATTAAAGGGGAAGTGATTAAGAACTTGAAAAAGTCATTTAAAAAATCCTTCAAGAATTACCTAACCAAAATGATGAAAAATTTGATAGCTGCAAAACATGGTGTAGACTTAAAGTTCATATCATGACCCTCCACAAGGTACGTTTGGGACAATCATGTTTGATTTGGGATATAGGAAAATTCTTCTCCTGAATATCAAAGTATCTTCATGGAGAGTAGTATAGATTCAAGTTAGTTCAAATCCTGACCCTGAGAGTAGATATCGATTTGGGCCACGCTATGTATAAAATGTTTCCCGATGAAGAACAGAAGGGTCATAATAATAGAAAAGAACATTGAGACCCATGGATCTCTTGTTTTCAAGGCCATAAAGAAGGTCAAGTACACATATATTAGGTATATCTACTTATTAACTATGGCACAATGGTTAGAGCGTCTGCGCTAGAGTCGAGTAGGAAGGAGTTGATCCTTACATCGCGGGTTTTAATCCCATTGTGTGATATGGAGACTGGTCCTTCGGATGAGACCATACAAAGCGCGATCCTGTGTTGCAGTAGGTGCTGGTATGAAAAAGAGTCCTCACTTGCTCAATAGGCATAGGTGCCGAGTATAGAATTTGTAGGTCTTCACTGGCAAGTGATGGCGTCTCCATATGAGTGAAATATTATCGAGAGGGGCATTAAAACAACATACCAACAAACTTATTAACAAGTTTGACGTCGTAGGAGACATTTATTGGTGGTTTCTTCTAGTTGTTTGCACGGATTTAGGTTTCTGATCATTATAAAATGGAGATAACGAGCGGTTTTCAAGATAAAAAGTCCATAAAGCAATACAAAATAGGAGCAGAGCAAACACGGACCTCCAAAACATCGGAAATGGGATCAGGTGCCATAGAGGAATGAGCATCCCCTGCTGACCGGTCACACCCACTGTGTGCTTCTTGTCATGATCGGGAAAATACCGGAAAATCCGTCGTCAATTCAGTGTATAAATAATGGACTAACAAATAGTATGAAAAATATCAGTCAGCGTTCGACTCAATGATAAATTGTATTTGCTGACAAGGTCATTGTATAGACCAAAGAACTTAGAAATGATGACTTAAAAAGAGACAGTGAAAATTCTTGTTTCTTCAACTTGTTTGTCAATAATTTATCTCGTTTTAGAAATTGTTCATGCGTAGAGCATGCTCTTGTGTATCGAATTAACTGAACCATAAACACCGTATGCAGGTGATGAAGGTATATTGCTGCATAAGTAAGGGAAGTTGACGATAGAAAAGTTAGTCATCACGTTTATCATAGAGCTTGGTTGACCATTAATAATTGATACATGTAATACTAAATGTCGAGTTGAAGGCAACAGAAGTGTTTTGTTCTTTTCAGGCATAAAGTTTTGCATAAATATGCTTCATATGACTACAAAAATAAGTCTGCTAACAACGGGGTGCAAATATAATTGAAGTTCAAAATAAAATAGTAAAGAACTTTACAAATAAGCGCTTTGACTGTAAGCATCTTGCACGCTTTATAACAAAACGTTTGTCATTGCTTCGCAGATGTTTCCCAAAATATATTTTAAGAATATTAATACTTTAAAATACATGTTTAATGGTGTTATACAGGTGACTCTAGAAATGGTACGGATTGGGTTTACGGTGCCAAGTAGATTTTACCAGTGGTTTAAAAGAAACACTCACCTATCAGTTCTTAATTTTATATATTTTTAAGTGTAGGAATAATTGCAAACAAGATAAGAAAATCTAAATGTTACATGTATTTACATATAACATAATTTGCAACTGTAATGTCTGGAGACGTTTCGTTTTCTGTTCTTTTGCAACCCGAGAAACCCTCTAAAACCACAAAGAAAAGACATTGCATCAGCTAGTGTTTGTCACGTGCAGTAGATAGAGTTGTAGTAAAATAAGTTCATTGACAGACATTAAGACCAAAGCAATCGACATTAAACACTACTCTGAAATTAAATCTTCCCACTGATATTTGCAAATTTTCATTCATTTCGGAAAATGAAATTTTTCTAAGAAAAAATATGAGGAAAGGCCTTTATTTGGATCTGGGTTTCTTAATTGCTTTTTCTTTTCCTCTTATATACATCATATAACATTTCTTACAAACACGACAGGGTTGACTTCTCATATTTGACATTAAAACGACCTTCTTACAAGTTTGCATTGTAAGATTTTTGAATCGATTCGATGCGTTTTTGGCGACGTAGCAAAATTAAATAATTACCGGTATATTCAAAACTAAATACAAGAAACAGCTAATCATTATTTTTTTTCATTTTTTGTGATAGAAAATTTGTAATAATGTTCTAATATCTTCTAATATAAAATTATTTTCGATAAAGCAATTCTTTGCAATTCTGCCACAAAGTCTGTTATGCCAGATGAATGAGTTTAAATTATTATTAGAGCTATTTTTACTTGATGGTAAGAATGGTTTATAGGGAAGAGAAGGTGCCTGGGTGCTTCCACCATACTAATACATCTCTCTCAATGTAAGGAGCTGAAACATCGACTATATCTTTTAGATATCTTACGAGATACAATCCCTTTTTTTTTCCTTAAAAATTTACACTGGCAAGCTATATATGGTTTGTAAACTAGAGACCGAAAGCTTTTTTTTCAAATAAATTCTTACGAAATCATACACGTTTAATATTAGTCCATCAATATTTTAGAAAAGAAATCTGAACTGCGTTATTCTACGGAAGTCCATTGAGGCAAGTTTAGAGAAAGGCATCAAAACGCATTAAATATTGCGTTTAAACGCAAAAGACTGCATTTAATCACAATGATCATTGCGTTTAAATGCAAAACACTTTGCGTTCAATCGCAAAAGACTGCGATTCAACGCGATACTTTTTGCAAAATTATTTATTCGTTTAATTGCAATAGTTTTTGCGTTTAATCGCAATAAACATTGCGTTTGAACGCAAAGAGTTTTGCGTTTAATTGCAAAAATTGCGATGAAACGCATTTACTCTTTGCGTTTGAACGCAAACAACAATTATTAGAATAAAAAAAAATGTATTTATGTATTTAATGCGATAATTTTTTAGGAGGTTTCCAGTAACATTTAGGTTGGTAAATTGTGAAAATTCTCAGATCCACGTCTTGTCTGATGATTTAATTGTAATAGAAGGTGTAAGGTCAGCTGGTTAGCTGAGCGAGTCATTCCCACTCGCGCGCTCACCACCGCTAACATGATGCACGTCTATTTTGAAGACCCACCTCCACCCCAGCATTCCTATCCCTTAATGTGATGATTAATGTGTTTTGTGAAATTATATATTTT